TGTTTAGATTACGGGTTTGTTGTTAATGTTACGGGTTTGGTTGTCAAGGTTACGGGTTGATTGTCAAGGTTAATTTCACAATAAACATGTAACATTAACAACAAACGCGTAACCTTGACAACAAACCCGTAACCTTGACAACAAACGCGTAACCTTAACAACGAATATTCTAATTAGTTGTAAAATTAACCTTAACAACAAACCCGTAACCTTGACAACAAACGCATAACCTTAACAACCAACCATTATTCTTAACAACGAATATTCTAATTAGTTGTGAAATTAACCTTGACAACAAACCCGTAACATTGACAACAAACGCGTAACCTTAACAACCAACCCTTATCCTTAACAACAAATATTCTAATTAGTTGTGAAATTAACCTTGACAACAAACCCGTAACCTTGACAACAAACGCGTAACCTTAACAACCAACCCTTATCCTTAACAACGAATATTCTAATTAGTTGTGAAATTAACCTTGACAACAAACCCGTAACCTTGACAACAAACGCGTAACCTTAACAACCAACCCTTATCCTTAACAACGAATATTCTAATTAGTTGTGAAATTAACCTTGACAACAAGCCCGTAACATTGACAACAAATGCGTAACATTAACAACCAATCATTATCCTTAACAACGAATATTCTAATTAGTTGTGAAATTAACCTTGACAACAAACCCGTAACCTTGACAACAAACGCGTAACCTTAACAACAAAAGTGTAATCTTAACAACCAAAATATATATACATATAAATCTCAACGTGTAATCTTAACAACAAACACGTAACCTTAACAACAAATCCGTAACCTTAACAACCGACCACTAATCTTAACAACCGACGACAAACCTTAACAAAACACAATAGGAGACAAATAATCAAACTTCAGGCTTAACATAGATTCTATTTATGCCATAAAGGAAAACATATCTCAATACTAAAACCTCACACACGCATAAATTAATTCGCATCCATCAAAGAACACCAACAACAAACTACAACCCACAATCAAAGATACTCTTTTTTTATTCCCACATACAATAACACTATTATTTAGTAAAAACAACCTGAAGCAAAGAAACAAGACAAATGCTACCTAAGTGGTGAGGATGGGGGGCATGTAATCAGACTTGGTTCAAATAACACGAGCCTTTGTATCGGGGAAAAACTCCGTCCTTGGGAGCTCTGTAACAACTCCTTCACTGCTTACTCCAATGGGATAGCTAAGTAAATGTCCAGGGAGATCGCGTTCCTGAGAGTAGAGATCCCAGTATTTGTCAGCGATACGCTTCACTTTCTGTACAAACTCGACGCTCTCTAGATGGAGGAAGAAATCAGATCGTCAATGCCGGGGAGACGGACTGCTCGATGATGGCGACGTTGATGTCGGGGTTCTTGGAGAGCTCGTAGGCGCAGGAGAGGCCGACGGATTCGCCGCCACCGCCACCGCCGCCGCCGCCGACGGTGTTAGCGTAGGTGATTATGTCGGACATGTAGCGGCGGGTCATCTCGCGGGAGACGATGGATTCTTTGATGGGGCGGAAGCAGATGGAGGAGAGGTCGTAGGATGTGGAGATTTGGGGGCGGAGGATGACAATGATAGGGAGGAGAAAGATTGGGTTTTGAAGGCGGAGATGAGCTTGAGGCCATGGAAGGAGGAGAAAGAGAGGAGGTTGCGGTGGTTAGGTTTGGAGAGGAAGGAGGATGTGACAATGGAGGGTATTATGGTCTTCACGTATCTTAATTTCTTGGGTTTTGTGTTTTGGGGGCTCAGAGAACACAGAGTTTACTTTTGGGGGTAAAACACACGTTGAAAAAGTCTTGGGAGGGGGAAGCTTGTTTTCATTAGTTTTGGGGGCTGGAAGCATTTTTCCCTATATTTTATATTATTTATCTTTGTAGAAACATGTAACATTATATTTACTAGCATTAATATAACTTTCGCTTACAACTTCTGGAAATTACGCAGAGACATTGAGAATAACGGACATTTCGATTGATGTGTGGGCCGCGGTACTTTTGATGATTGTTGTCGAGAGACATTTAGGGCTGCGCGCTGAGAATGGTCGGGTGGGGGGGGGGGGGGAATTATGGCAACCAATGCCCGCGCGCTTGAATCACGTGTAAGGGAGAAGAAGAAAGATGGAGGAAGGGCACGGTACGAGTTTTTCAACGGCGAATAGGCTCCACCCCCCCCCACACCCCCCCCCCATGCTGCTCAATGACTCTCGACCCCCTGATGGGTCCATGATGGCTACATCTTTGGTTCTAAAAGTCTTTCTTATCTCTTATCAGATTGGAGTTTAATAAGACTCCTGATCACTTTTTTTATACTGTACATGGTCCTTTGTTTGAGGATTCTCCCGCCTAAAGTTTACATGTGAGCGTCATTCTTTGATCTAGCGTTTTCTGTCTTTAGGACTAATGTTTTTATTTAGTCGATAGGATTAGCAATATCCCAGCTCTAAAGTGGCTTCACATGTTGGAAAGAGACGAACACAAATGTACTAGTATAATAAAGACTAAAAAAGAGTCCACATTGCAGCAAAAAGATGCTGATTCATATTCTCTACGCTATTAAAAAAAAGAAAAAAATAGTAAAGAGATCATTACAATATCATATCTTTTGATTGGTTTAGTATGTGGTTATGATTTGACCTTGAGTGTAACTTTTTAGAAAATAGTGTAATTCATGAGGTACGATGAGTGCTGGATTGAATCATAAACAACTATATATAAATCAACAATTATGATTAGTGTAGTGGCCTCTCTGCTATTTTTTTGGCGGACATGATCCAAATCTAAAAGATGTTAGACTACTCTAAGATTTGGATTAGTGTCGTGCATGGCAAGTATCTTTGGATTGTGATGAGCATGATTTGTGAGCTTGTAATATCAAAACTCACTGGACACTTCCGATCGATCAGGTAGTCCATGGAATTATAACTCTCGATTTTGATCATAAGTTCGAAGTTTTGACATGTTGATAGGATATTAAGATGATATTAGAGTAATAATGGAGGCTCAAATCGTAGTGGAAACACATTTAAGGTGGATCAAAGCATAATTGTGTAAAATACCGTAGATTTTTGGTCCATGAAAGTATCAGGATAATCCAAACTCAAATCCCAATTGACTCGCATTTAAGTGGATTAAAAAATAAAAAATTGTGTAAATAGTATAGATTTCGCCCCATAAAAAGAATACACTTCGAACACTTTCTTCTTTGTCTGATATTAGGAATGGTTTGGTTTGCTGACAACAGATCAAAATTTCATTCTTGATATTGCGGATAGCCGAATGCTTTCAATTTTGACAACACTGGAACATACGTCTCATTAACCCAGTCGATTTCTCAAATGTAATTTAAGTTTGAAATTAAATAAATATTTTTTTGAGAAAAAAAAATTAATATTTATTTTTTTGAGAAATTAAATAAATATTAACTCATCGCGTAATGTGCTGAAACTATATGATTCATATTTGCTTCTCATTGCTCTTCTAATAAAAATATTTTGCGGGCCTGATCGGGTCTTAATTGTTTCTCTAGTGCAGATCTGATAAATAGATTTTTGAAC